AAATTTCATTCATCAGTCATTCCTCAGGTCTGATTAGATCTTGCCCTTAGAGAAGAGTGTGATGGGTGGACAGCTCATCTGCAGTCTGTTTTCTGTCCAGCATTACCATCTCTCCCCATAGACTCCTGGGGCATTGCCTTTTTCTTGCTGCAGATGTGAGGTTGGCCATATCCTACCACATAGAGAAAATGGATGTTTGTAGGAGAGAATGGGTCCAATGGAGAGGGAATTATAATTGAGAGGGAGGGGGCAGTGTGTGTCCTTGATCCATCCATACCTGAAGGTGTTATACTTCTGGGCTTCCTAGTTGTGGGACCCACTGAAAACATATCTTTCTTACTTTAGGTTGAGGCCCTGCATGGTCTGGCTCTTCCCCCTGCTCCTGGGCCTTCTCCTTGGCAGTGCTCACCACCCTTAAGAGTTCTTTGTTAACCAACTGTCCCTCTCACTGGACTGTAAGCTCCACGAAGACAGGACTCTGGTCCACTGTGTTTACCAGTTTATCGTCAGGGCCTAGCACAGAGCCTGACCAGTGAGTATTTGTTAAACATAAGTGGATAAATATAAGGAATGATAAATGCTCTGGCAGTGAAAGTCCTCTGGGCAATGATCCTCTCTTCCCTGTGATGGCCTCACACTGAGGTGGTCAACTCAGGAAATTTAAGCGGCCTGGGCTGCTGAGTCACCACGTGGAGTTCAGCTGCCCTGGAGGGTTGCCCAGGCTCAGAGCAGACGATGTGTCAGGGAGAATACATTTTATGTGTTGCGATAAGCCACTGAGATGGGGATTTTTGTCACTGCAGCATAACCTAGCGCATTCTGACTGATGCACCAGCTGCCCACGAACAACAGCAGACCAACCCCCTGGGGACTGCCGTCTGGGATGTGACCAGTCACCCCCTCTGGATGCTGTCCCACTTCTGCTCATCTGCGTGACTCTTGTGGGCACTTAAATCTGGGATGGTATGGGAATTCCCTGGCGGTCCAGCGGCTAGGACTCTGTGCTTTCACTGCCGAGGGCGTGGGTTCGATCCCTGGTTGGGGAACCAAGGTCCTGCGAGCCATGTGGCTCGACCAAAAAAAAAAAAAAAAAAATTAGGATGGTGTGTTAGTTTGCTAAGGCGGGTACAACAAAAGGTCACAGACTGGGCGGCTTAAACAACAGAAATGTATTCTCTCTCAGCTCTGAAGGTTGGAAACCCAAGATCAAGGTGTGGGCAGTGCTGGTTTCTTCTGAGGGCTGTGAGGGAGGATGTGCTCCAGGCCTCTGCCTCTGTCTGTCTCCTGTTTTTATAAGGACACAAGTCATATTGGATCGGGGCCCACCGTATTCCAATATGACCTCATCGCAACTACAGTTACAGCGACCCTATTTCCAAATAGCATTACACTTTGAGGTATGGGGGGTCAGGACTTGAACATCTGAATTTTGGGGGGTATTCAACACACAACAGATAGCCTCCCAGAGGAAGGTCCAGGGGAGCTGGGCCAGGTGAGCCGGGCTGGACAGGGGAGGCGGGGGAGGAACCCACGTATTTCCAGCAGAAGGAACCATGTAAGCAGGACTTTCTGGCAGGGTGGTTCTAGAAGGTTCTTAAGAGACTCCCTGTGGGCACAGAAAGTATGCGAGTGCGTGTGTGCGTGTATAGTGGGGGGCCCACCTCCCGCTCCTTTCCAGGGTGGAGATAGCCGGAGGCATGCAGAGAAAGTGGAGGGGCGCGGGAAGGGGGGGCCTGTCGGGTTTGATCTTTTTGGGTTTGTTTTTGACTTTCTGCTGACTCTGGAAATGGACTGACATGGGGGTGGGGGTGAGGGAGAGAGGCAGGAAGGCAAGGGAAGCTTTCAAAGCTGCAGCCATGGGAAATATTTTTATTTTCTGTTTGAAAGAAAATGCCAAAGAAGGATTAAAAAAAAAAAAAAAGGAGGGAGGTGGGTGAAGAGATTAGCGCGCTCGTGCGAGCGTGCGTGCGTGCGTGCGTGTGTGTGTGTGTATGTGTGTGTGTCTGTCTGTATGTGTGAGAGAGAGAGATCCTGGGAGACTGTGGGGATGGGAGACTCCTGGGAGACCTCGGAAGAAGGGTTAGGCCCTGCTGCCCCTTCGCTGGAGATGCCAGCACGGGCCACAGAGCACCGGCGGGGAGCACGGGAGGTGCAGAGCTGGGCCAAAACCTGGCTGGCTGGCTTGTTGCCACCCAGGCTCGGTGACTTTGGGAAGTCCCCCCACTTCTGTTGCTCACACGGACCCTTTTGACGAGTGTGTCTCTAACAGGGGCACAGATGTGTGGGACACAACACATATGCAAGGAGCAGACACCCAGAGGAATGCCCAGAGACTGGGGTGTGTGTGTCAGAAACCGGGAGACCCAGAGCGGGAGGGGAGATGGGATTCTCCGGGTGCGTGCTGAGCCCAGAACTGGGAGCCCTGGCCCCCTGAACTCCCGACCGCAGCCCCCTCCCAGCTGGGAGTGCGGGCCAGGCTCCCTGGGTCAGCCTGACCTCGCCCTGCCCTTACTGGGCCCAGGCCAAATGGGCTCCCATTAACCTCTGACCTCTGTTGCCTCCCCCCCAGGCGAGGGCAGGAGAGAGGCCCCAGGAGAAGGTGGAGAGGATGGACGGGGTAGGACAGGAAAGGGAACGGCAGGCTGGGGGCTCCCAGGGATGCAGGGGCTCCACATTCGTGTCCCCAGCGCCCTGCCTGGCTTAGCTGAGGAAGCCCGCCACGTCTTAGCTGTGTGGGCCTGTTGCTTCTCTTCCTGAACCTCTGGTTTCTGGCCTGTTAAATGGGCGTGACAATACCCATGTCAGAGGGCTGTCCAAGCCTGCGCGAAGCAGGGGTTTGCATCGGAAGGAATTTTCCGACCGAAAGAGAGGAAGCCGGAGGGTTCTGCTGTGGAAGGATTTGCCGGGGCCACGTGGGTCAGGCCGGTGGGAAGGGATGGAGGCGCCTGTGGGGGCCAGGCCGGCGGAGGAATTTGCTGCAGAACTCTCAGCGCGCACAGGCCTGCCACGCAGGGGTTCAGAGGCCCAAACAAAGCTGCGAACCAGCGGCAGGAGACGGGGACCTCGAGGAGGGGACCGGGGAGCCCCCTCCTCCCCCCCAGGTACAGTGACGCCCCCCCCGCCCCCCGGCAGGCACACCCCTTCCCAAACACACGTGCTGCCGGGCCCTCCATTAGTCACCCTGGTGCTGACATACATAAATCCCATTAGTCACACCGCACAGACTGGCTGGGAACACACCCAGGCACACCCGGACAAAGAAGGCCCCCAAAGAGGCCTTTTCTGTCCCTCATGTCTCTTTCCCAGCGCCTAGAACAGGGCGGGGACCCTGGGCGCTCAGTGAACACGCAGTCGGCGTTCCCCAGAGCGACCATCTCCCACGGTAACATCCCCACAAGCCGGCACTGCCGCCCCGTCCCCTCCGGGCACACCAGTACCACCTAAACCCCCACGAATGCCCTTGGCCAGTGCCTCTTCCGCTTCCCTCTGGAGGGGGCACGGCTGGCATGGTGTCCCTCTCCCCACGCCTGTCCTCTTGACGGGTCTAGCAGGAAATCCATTCCCCAAGGTCAGCAGAGCTCCTCAGCAGGCGGCCCAGTGCTGATTTATTGGTGGTTTATTTGGAGAAACACAATCGCTCTTGGATTCTGGGGGAAGAAAATGCTCACGGCGGACTTTAACCTTGGGCTGAAACCGCAGAGCTTTGTTTTCGGAGGCGCTTCCTGGGGCGCCGCGGGGCTGGGGCCCAGGGGGGAGGCGCGGCTGGAATGTGGCTCAGCCGCCTCTCCACTCCCAGGCGGCGTTTCCGCCGCGAGGCGAGTGCTCAAATTCTCCTGGGCTCGGCCAGAGGGCCTCGGTCCCTCCTCGTGTGCTTTTAGAAATTCTAGGAAGGAGCTCCCCGGGTGAGTGTTTCCCAGCAAGGTTTCCAAACCCTCCGCCTCCGGCATCTGCCACGTGCCAGTTTGCCGTCGTGTCACTGGCACAGTGAGGCTCTCGGGAGGCACCCAGAAGGGGTGAATGCCTCCCCCTTGCGCGGTTGTCCCCACCCGAAGTCCCGAGCAAGAGGTGGTGGTTCGGAGGTGGCCGTCCCCATCAATAGAGCAAACCGCCTGATGCAGGTCGCCAGCACGAAGGCCTGTTCCCCGCCCCTCTGGTAAAGAGACAAAGTTGGTGACATTAAGCGTTATTGTTGCAAATACACCCTGTGTGGATCTGCACCCCTGTATCCCCCCACGCCCCTCCCCCCACCCGGAGTAGAAAGACTGCCGCGCCTACCAGGCTGCTACCAGCGCCGGACCAATCCCTGCTCTCCCGGTGGTTTGCCTATTTGCGCCAAAGCGGGTGGCCGACCAGGGTGCCGAACTGGGGCCAGACGGGGAAAAGCCGGAGGTGTCCCCGGCAAGGAGGAGAAGGTGGGCCGGTACCGGTGGGGAGCCAGATGAGCCCCTACCTACAGGCACGGCGCCTGCAGACACCCTGCTTGGTCCTCCGTGCACACACAAAAAAGTCCCCCTCCCCGCATGGTGCGCCCTCAGAGGGCTCCAAGGGCAGAACAATGGCCCAGGATTAAAGCACGGTCTGCAGAGAGGGGTGGCAGGCTGAGTTCTGAGAAGCCACTGTGACCCTGATGTCGCCCCTCGATGGCACAGGTAGAGCCAGAGTTGGGCTCAGGTGGGTAGTCGCGCGCCCATCCCAGCCTCACCTAGCCTTCCTAGGAGTAAGCACCCCGTCCGGGCGCCCCTACCCTAGGCAGCGATGCGGTGAGGCCCAGGCCACCTCAGGGTCCGGTGACCGCGGGGATGGAAGATGGTGGCACGGAGTGGACAGGACCGCTCCCTCTCTCTGGTGAAAGGGGAAGCTTCTGGCTGGATTCCCTGCGCAGTCTCGGGGCCCCCAGGCCCTGACCTGGAGAGCGGGGCATCTGGTGCGGTAGGGACGCGGGGTCGACGACCGGGAGTACCCGTGCGTGCAGCGGGAAGGAGGGCCCTGCGCCGAGATTTATGGCCGCAGCCAGCCCCCTGCGCACGGAGAGTGTCTCGCTTAGAGCCAAACAGTAGAGTGGAAGACCCGACCCGGCCGGGGGAAGAGGCCAGGGCCGGAGGCGGAGCCGAGAGCCGCCGGGATCTGCCGGGGCCGGGCCTCGCACTTCGGTCCAGGCTCTGCCCGCCGTGCCCCCTGGTCCCTGCGGCTTTCGTGGCTCTGGCGCCGCGTCCTGGGTCTTTCTGGCGGGTCGGGACGCATCTCGGCTGCGCTGGCCGAACCTCGGCTCGGCGCTGAGTCGTGACTGGGCCCGTCCCAGCAAGGGGATGGCGAGCCTGGCTTTCCCGGGCGGGGCCTCTCCGGGTTTTAGTGGCACCCGGGCCAGGAGCTCCCTGGTTGTCGGACCTGGAACCTGGAAACTGGCGCTTAAGAGACAGCGTCACGGCTTCCCGAGCGGGCAGCCGAGCCCGGCGAATGCCCTGGGCTCCCTTCACCGAGAGGCTGGCGGAGGCGCGGGGATTTCGGTCCCCACCGCGAAGGGCCGTTCGGGGCGACGGGTGGAGGTGGCTCGGGTGTCCTCGCCTAGGAAAGGATGCGGGTTTCTTTTCTGGGGAAGGGGGTGGGGGAGAACGCGTCCAAGCGGTCGGCCACACCAGGATTCCGGGGAGCGCCGTGTTCGGCCCTGAATAGGACAGGATTGACCGAGGCGCTGGGGACCGAGCCCGCGAGTGACAAAGGCGTAGTCAGGGAGAGCTGAATCCAAGGTTGGCCTGTCCTTGGGTTTTAAAACAAAGCGAAATAATTTTGTCAGTCAGGCCGCGTCCACGGAGCTGGAGGCCTAGGAATATACAAAAGGCCTCGTTTCTGGCGGCCCAGGATGGCCGCGGACAAAAGCGCTGGCTTGGGCGGGTTCTCTGGGAACTGAGGTTTGGGGTTGCAAGGAGGTTCCCCCCTTCAGCCGATTTTCCACCCAGCTAGTACAAAACACACACACACACTGCGTCAACACACTCTTTTTGGCTCCGGATCTTGCCGAGTAAACACAAATACGTGGGGGGAGGGAGTGGAAGATGGCGGCGGGACCCGGGAGGACTGCGGGCTGCGCGTCGTTATCCGCTCCGCGCAGGGCGCCCCGGCCTGGGTTTTACGTTTCTGTGCCACCAAAGCGGGGAGGGCGTTTCTTTCCCCAGACCCTGAAGCCCAGCCAGGGGTGTCGCCGATGCCCTCTACGAATGGCGAGGGTCTTGGACGAAGCCTGGGCTGCGCCCACCACTCGGCTTGGGATCCGTCCCCCGCCCTAAAGATGGCTCCCGGCCGCTGCTTGCCCAGCGACTGCGGGCACCCGGGCAGCGGGGCGCGGGCCGGGAGGGGGCAAAGATCGGGACGCGCGTAGGTCGTCCGAGGCGGGTGGCTCCTCGGAGTAGCCGGCTCGCGCCCCCACCCGAGCTGCAGCTCGGAGAACCGGCACTGCCGGGCAGGGTCTGTCCGGGGAGCCCCGCTGCGCGGCCGGGAACCGGGAGCCGCCGCCGTCGCCACCTACGCGTTCCCAGGCCCTGCACCCGGGCGAGCTCTGGCGGGAGGGCCGCGCAGCGGCTCGCGCGGGTGCGGGTATGTGCAGGGAGGGGAGCGCAAGGGGGCTGCAGCCCACAAAGACCCGGGGTATGGGTGGGGGAGGGGGCCTCGCCTGCCCCGAACCTCGGCCCTAATGAAATGCAGGCTTGGTTCGCCCCTCCATCCAGGCGCACACTTGGAAAATGCAAACGCCATTGGCAAATCCAGGGCAAACAGGCAGAATTTTTATTAGCAACTAAATGATTTATGGCACACATACCCCGCCGTCAAAATTACGGCGTCTTGAGCATCCAGGAGTGAAAACATTAAACATTTATAAAAATAGGCTTTTGGTTTTTTCCACCCTTCAAGTCCTTTGTATTCCCCACCCCAACTCTCTCAACATACATATTTTTTTCTTGAGCTCTATTAAAACAAAGAAAAACATTCCAGATCCCGGGACAGGGGATAATGGAATGGAGGTTCAGTGTCTGGGGTCTGAATACTGAGCGATGGGGGCTCGGGAGTGGGAGGGTTTACTAGGAACCCACAGAGGCCTCTGGATAAGACTGGAGGACACTCTGCGCCCACCCGGGGTGCGACCCCACGCACGGCCCCTTCCCCAGTCTTGGCTTTCAGCAGCCTCGTGCAGCTCAACTGCATTTACTTTATTTTCTGCAGTCACCCCCCTCCCCCAAGGCACATAGACACAATACCTCCTTTCTCTAACCCCCCTCTCCTCTCCGTCTTTGCTCTGGCCGTCCCGGGGCTGCAACGGGAGCCTCCCGCCGCCCCGGCCGCTACTGAGACCTGCGTGCCCTGCTCCGCCGCTTGTTCCCCTCCGCTCCGGCTATTTTCGTGGCTTTCTTTCCTTCTCACTCCTCCCTCCCCCCCACGCCCGCCCCGCAGAGCTCCAGCTTCCAAAAGAGGGCAGCCTAGAAACCAGCGCAGGAGGCTCCAGGAAGGGCAACTTGAAACTGCCCTCAAGAGGCTGAACTTTTTTCCTCAAATTTATACTGGAATTAAATTAGACACCCCCAGTTCGCTCTCCAAGCCTACCCCCCTTCTTTTTCTAAAAGTGGCGAAAAGAAAATAGAACGAATGGGCGCTAACTAGCTCATTTTTCCCCCCTCCAGAAAAGTTGCCTTAAAAATGGATTAAAAAAAAAAAAGAATAAACGATGCGAAAACGCTGAGTCCGCAGCGCAGGGCGAAAGAGCGGGCTTCTCTAGTTTTAATTAAAATCTAATCACCACAGTTGCTCTCTGAGGCAGGATCGCCAAGGATTTCTGCCCCTCCAAGCTTCCTTTTGAGGGTACGTAATGCCTAGCCGGGCACGGGTCCCTGCGGGGCTGCGGAGGGAGCGGGCCCCTAGGGCTGCCCCTCCGACCGCATCCGCACTCCTCGTGCCCGCAGCCAAGTAGGTTGCCGCGGGCAGCTCCCGGCTACTCAACCCAGAAAGGATTTTGCTGAAAGCGCAAAATAAAAGTACAAAGTCTGGGGGATTGGGGCTCCCCTCCCCCTCCGGCTGCCGCGGCCAGCCAAGCACTTTTTGGGCTTGGCTGCTGCTTCCTCTGAGCTCAACAGATTTTTTTTTCCCCCGGTCTCGCCCTCCCTGGAGGGGGCACGGCGGATGGAAGGCGAGAGAGGCCCCCAGCCAAGAGGTTTTTAATATTACACTTTAATAGGTTTCAGAAGGCCCCGTGGAGAAATGCTAATAGGCTGAAATGTCAGAATCGAGAGGGAGTCAGTTCGCGCTCAGCCGATCTAATCCTTTTTTCTGCTCTGATTTTTTTTGGGGGGGGAGAAAGGGAGGGGAGCGCCCACGCAAAGAGAGCCTTTGGGGAGGGGCGCGGTGCAAAGCGCCGCAGCCCGGGCCGGGGCCGAGCGGGGGGCGCGCCCTGGCCCGCGTTTCTATAGGAACCCCTTTTAGGAGATTAGAGACTCACCCGCTGCCCGCCGCCGCGGCCTCTCCAAAATATTAATCAGTAACCATCTGACACCGCGTTTCAGGGAGGAACCCGCAGACCGGGGCAAGGAAAACCGCCTTCTCGCCTGCCCATCCCACCCAACCGCGCAGTTCGGGGAGGGAATGAATCGCTGCTTTGTTTTAAAGTGGGGTGGGGGGAGGAGGGAAAAAGCAGCCCTTGTCCGTTTTGGCGTCTCCACCGCGCGTTGTAGAAGGCGCGCCCTAGGGGAGGTGGGGAGCCGGGGGCCCGGGCCCGGGGTGCAGCCCGCCGGGCCTCTGGCTCTTCCCGGCTCGCTCGGCTTGTCACCTCCTCCTGCGAGCAGGAAGCTGACAGGCGGCCCATTAAACTGCGCCTTGCAAAGCCCTGGATTGCGGCGACAACCATCTTCCTCTATTTTGATCACTCAGCCCAGACGCTGGGGGAGGGGGGAGGAAAAAGGAGGAGGAGGAAGGGGGGGGTCCGAGCTGGTGGAGGGGGAGGGCTGCCTAGAAACGGCCCGGAAAAATTCTCACCACCAGTTTTGATCATTCAGCCCCACCGAGGGGAGCCTAGAAACTGCTGGAGCCCCTAGGTCCGTAATTGGTTTTATAGGGATGGCTGAGGGCCAAGGTGTTTACATGCGCGTGATTGGCGGCGCGCGCGGCCAATAGGTGGCGGCCGGGGGCAGGCCTGGGGGGGAGGCGGGCACCCGGGAACAATGCGTGTTTCTTCGCCGTAGAGTGTTCCCCTCCCCCACCCTCCCCTTTCCCGCCCCCCCGCGGCTTTTTTTTTTTTTTTTTTTTTAGATCCAGCGAGAGGAACTTGAAAGGGGGGTTGTGTAATGTACCTTTTCCAATCCCGGGCTGTATATGGAGATTTGGGATTCTTTAAACCGGCGCTACCTGGATTTTATTAAAAAGCGGGGAGCTCGGCGGGAGGAAAGCTGGCTTTTCCGGGGGCTGCGGGAGCCCGGCCGCGGGAGGGCGGAGGAGTTGGCGCGCCGAGCGCTCGGCCCGGGGAGCGGTTTTCTACCAAAAAAAGGAAAGGCGGGCAAAAAGTGTGAGGCGGCTGCGGGTGGCGAAGGGGAGCAGCGGCCGCGGGATGGCGGGCAGCACGGGCGCCTAGCCGCGCCGGGAGCCGGGGCCGCCACCGGAGTCGCCGTCGCCTGGAGCCGGGAGCCCTGCCGCGCCAGGTACGCCGCTGGGCCACCCGCCTGCCCCTGGCCGGGCGCGATGGTCTCCAAACTTCTCCAGATGGCCCCCCACCCCGCCTCCCCCCTCGGGGTGCGCCGGGGATACCCTCAGCTCTCCAGCTCCCGAGGACAGAATCGGGGGACCAGGGCCGGCGTGGTGGGGTGCCCCGGGAGGGGTGGGGGCAAGTCCCTGCGCCCCGGGCGCCCACCTGAGCCCCCAGCCCTGCTCTAGCCCTCCCAACCGGGCCGAGGGGCGTCGGTTCCCTTCTCGGTTCCCGGCAGGCGGTGGGGGAGCCAGGGACGCCTAGACGTTTTCGATTATAGGCTGTTTTTAATTAAAAGCCGGAATTCAGCCATTTTAACTGCATTTAAGAGGGGAAGAAAAGTAGGGAGAACGCAGCAGAGCCCGCAGATGACCGAGCCAGCTTCTCTACCAGAGCAAGGGTGTTCCGGGGGGCTTCACCCCGACTTCCCCAAAGTGGGGCGCGGGGGCATGACCCGAAGCGCTGGCTTTTAAAAGAAAGCTACACAAAGAATTTTTTTTTTTTTTTAAATCACGGAAAGCTCATCGCCTGACATGTATCTTCGGATGTGGCGATCTTAGATTTTTCTAAAGTAAACGCGGATCTGGTAACCAGAGCCTGATGGGAGGCAGCGAGGGAGGGAGGGGGTGTTTGTAACCAAAACCGGGTTAAAATAAGCATCCTTAGCAAAGTTGGGGAGGGAGGCTGGAGGACGCCGGGGGGTTGCGGCTGAGAGGGTCTGCAGCTCCGGGGCCTGGCCGCCGGTCGCGGGGAGCAGGGCGGGCACCCGGGAGCCGGTGGCTTTGGCTTGACCGGTGGCTGGCTCTAGGAGCGCCCGGGCCTCTTGGAATCAGGAATCCGAGCTGCTGAGGGCAGACGGAGAGCGAGGGCAGGGTTGGCTTCCAGACCGCCTCCCGCCCCCACGGGAATCGGCAGATCTTTAAAATAAACAGCTTTATACTGGAACTACAGGGGGATTTGCCCAACGCTGGGGGAGGCGCCCCTCGGTCGGCCCGCGACGCGAAGGTTTTCTTTGTAGGTTATTTGTGGGGTTGGGGGCAAGCTAGGGTAGGAGCGAGACCCTTGAGTCTCTCCCTTCCCCTCTGACGCCCCCCAAATTCCCCGCGCCAGGCCACGTCCTCGGGCCGCAGGATTCCCAGGCCAGGGCGCTGGAAAATGAAACCAAAGCTTGTTTTGAAGGATTCTTTCCAGTCCTCGGGCGAGAATGCCACGTCTCGGCTCTTCGGACTTAGGCTCTGCGACTCACAGTGGCCCGAGGGGGGTGGCACGAGGGGGCGATGAGTCTCTTTAAAAATAATAAACCCGCTTAGCACCCTCTTTCATGAAAAAACTACTAATTCCGAGGCTCGGGGCGAGCTCAGGGGAACCAAACTCAGAAAAGGGAGACAAGGGCTCCCAAAGGTTAAGTATTAAACTTTCCAGATAAGATAGTTACATAGTGTTTAGGGAGACATTTCGAACTGCTCGTGGAAAGGTTTCACTGTTTGAAACCCCGGAGCATGTGACGCCCAGGAATCCAACACACTTCGGAGGTTTGTATTGACGCGCTCGGGGCGCGGCCGAGGGGCCTTCCCCAGTTTCGGGAGCACCCGTGAGCTGCCGAGGCAGAGTCTGGGCTGGGGCGTAGCGCGCCACCGGCCACCTTTTGAGCCGTTGCCCGTGAGCCCGATGCCGCCGAAGGAAGGAGCATGGAATTTAACTTTTTATGGAAAAGGGGCTACTCCCGATTTCATTTCTGGCCACCACATCGGCAGCCCCCGACCCCGAACGGCATAGACGACTTTCTGAACTTGTTTCTTTTTTCCCCTCCTTTTTCTTTTTTCCCCTTCTGTTTCTTCCGCGGCCCGTCTCCTCTCCCCGCCAAGACGCCTTGTGCGCCGCCTCGCGCAGCTCCGCCTGGCCGCCCGGAGGGGCTCCACCACCGGCCGTCTGTGCGCCTCGGGCCGCAGGCCCGCCGCCGAGCGCAAGACCCGCTGGCCGCCGCCGCCATGCACGCCGCGGAGCCCCCGCCGCCCGAGGACTCTGGGACTACGTCGAGGCCGAACTTTTAGGTCCCACTGAACTAGGCCCGCGGGCCGGGTGGGGGGCTGGCCGCGGCACTCCCGCGGAGGATGGATGGCCGAGACTTCGGGCCCCCGCGGTCTGTGCACGGCCCCCCGCCGCCGCTGCTGTCCGGCCTGGCCATGGACAGTCACCGCGTGGGCGCCGCCACGGCCGGACGCTTGCCCGCTTCAGGCTTGCCCGGCGCGCTGCCGCCCGGGAAGTACATGGCCGGCCTCAACCTCCACCCGCACCCGGGTAAGTGCCTTGCGCGATGCCCGCCCTCAGTAGTCTCCTCGGGATCCTGGGAGGGAGGCCCGGGGAAAGTGCTAGGTCCTTCCCCCCCCCCACCCCCGGCGTTCGCAACGGGGGTTCGGCCCCTCCTTCTCCCTCGGCCGGTCCACTGGGTGCCCATGGGTTGCCGGCAGGCTCAGTTCCCGGGCCGGGGAGACCCCTGGGCCCGGGGCAGAGGCCAGTCTGGAGGCTCCGGTGGAGAGGGGCGCGCGACTCAGCTGCCTTCCCCGGCGCTTCGGGCCCTCCCAAGGCGCTCGAGTCTGCCGAAACCGGAGCCACCAGGGGCTATTCCAAACCCCGGGCTCTTGCAACTCGAGCCTGGGCTGGAGTTTTCAAAATCTGGGCGAGAAAAGAACAGACCAACTCCATACCCTTTGAGACATCTGCTCCCAGAGCCGGAATAGTTTTTGTGGCAAATGTTTTTTCAGGCGCCCTGGGCCTGGGTTCGTTCCTTAGCTTCTTAACTCTCGTGCGGGGTCTCCAGCCAGCCCCGGCGCCTGAGGGTGCGGACGGACGAAGACCCCAGCCCTGGGAACGCGGCCTCCGGGGGGCGGGCGGCCGGCGGCCCTTGGGAGACCCCTCATCCCAACCCCCCCACACCCCCGGGAAGGAGGGCAGCAACCCCGGCCCCGGGGACCCCTTGTTTTCCTGCGGGAAGGCAGGGATGCAGATCCTGGGCAGTCGCCGTCCCGAAGCTAGGGGAAGGAAGTGGCGCAGGAGCGGATCCGCGGGGCACGATCGGCGGAGGGAACACCATGGGTCTGACATGGAAGCGCGGGAGGAGGTGTCCGAGAAGGCCCGGCGGCTTCTGCCGTTTCCCGAGAGGGGCTGCCCAGGCTCGGTGGGGGCCACACTGGAGAGGGAGAAGATTGCCCCACGCGGGCCTCGGCCGCTCCAGTCCGGCGGGGTGGGAAGGGAGACGCGGGGACCTCCAGACTTGCCTTCGGCCGCCGCAGAAAACCCGGTTCCTCCTCCCCCGGCTGCCTCCAGCTTTGTGCCTGGCGTCCCACGCTTCAACTTTAAAAAAAATCCACCTCGGGCTTGCCTGGTGGCGCAGTGGTTGGGAGTCCGCCTGCCGATGCAGGGGACACGGGTTCGTGCCCCGGTCCAGGAAGATCCCACATGCCGCGGAGAGGCTGGGCCCGTGAGCCATGGCCGCTGAACCTGCGCGTCCGGAGCCTGTGCTCCGCAACGGGAGAGGCCACAACAGTGAGAGGCCCGCGTACCGCAAAAAAAAAAAAAAAAAAAATCCACCTCTCCCACAACAAAGCGTAGTCTGGGATTCCTGTGATTTCTCGGGGAGCTCCCGACGCTGCCTTGGCCTTGGGGTCTTGGAGGGGACAGCTCTGGGCCGCAGCAGCCGCCTTGGCCCTGCCGCACCGACCCAGCGCGCTCGGCAGCACTCGCTGTTTTTGCCCCTCTTTGATTTTTCTCTTGGAACTTTTCAGGAAGCAGAGTCCCAGGGCTCGGCGGGACAAAGGGCCTTTGTGAGGCGCCAGGCGGGGGAGGGGCACGCACGGGGTCGGGGGGGCCGGGAGCGCGAAGATCCCCGCCTGCCCGGGGGGGGGGGCGAGGACCGGGTCATGGCCTTGGGGTGCGCGTGTCCCCCAGGAGCTCTGCCCGGCCGGCCACGCTGAGGGCTAGGGTTTTCTCCCAAGTGGTGCGCTTCCGGTGAGGGAGGGGTGCCGGAGACCCTAGAGGAAGGGCTGGGGGGCGGCCCTGGGGTACAAAGGGCCGGTCGGGCTGTTTTGCGCGCGCCCAGAGGCCGCGGTCATTTTTGTGTTTGCGCCCTTAAGGTCGCTTGGCCCGGCCCGGAGAGGTGGCAGGGTTCTGTGGCCTAGAAGTGAGACCCCAGTCACTCTGGCTGGCAGGGCCTTCACTCGCCTTCCGAGAGTCTGGGAGAGGGCGCCGCGGACTCCCGGTGTCCAATCTGGCTGGGGCCTGGCGGCGGCCAAGTGCTCTAATGAGAAGCAGCCGGGGAAACAGCCACCGCTCAAGGGGGCCAGGGCCGCGCCGAGCCCAAGCGCAGCAGCCAGGCCCCCTAATGCCCATTAGGTGGATGGGGAGGCTGAGGCACGGGGGGAAGGGACTCGGGGGAGGGGCAGGCAGGACGAGGAAGCAGCGGGAGGTGGCCGCAGAGGCCTGTACCTGCACTTTGTGAGTTAGGACCTGCCTGAGTTCTGCGTGCTTGGCGGCTGAGGTCATGGAGGAAAGAGCAGCCGGGCGCGGGAAGCGCCGCCACTCAGGCCGGTGCTCGCTCACCCAGCAGGGAAGGGTGGGGGGTTGACGCTGCCTCTTGCTCCCCGCCGGTCGAGTGGCCGCACTGAGACCTAGGGACCCCCAGACCCTGGGCCAACGCCCAGACCAAGCCTGGTGCTCATTCCATTAGCCAGGTGGTGGGGAACGGCTCCCCGTTCACTGCTTGGGGCGGGGCAGGCTTACAAATTTCTCAACCCAGCACCCGTCCCCGCCTTTCTTGCGGGGTGCAGGTGCTAAATTTTCCGCTTCCAAGGCGCATCACCTTCTTGGCTGTCAGCTCCCTAAGTCACGCCAACGTTATCAGCCGCATCTTTGTTTATGCTTGTACTGGGAAGCCTGGAGAAGCTGAGCTATTTGCCTCAGGTCACACAGCTGGAGAGGCCGAGTTACCTCTGGACTCCAGCGTGGGCGGGAACTCCGGGTGAATCCAGCTTTCCAAGGCAGAGGGAGCTGCCCCCAGGAGGGCTCACAGCTGGAAGGGACCCTGGCTGTGGGGGGGTGGTGGCTGGGACCCTATTCAAGCAGGTATTGACAGGGGGGTTGGGAGACAGCTTTCTGCATCGTGGATCCGGGTGCAGAGGGATGGTTCCTTCCTCTGCAGAAGAGGAGGTGAAATCAGGAATAAATGGGGTTTGGGATAGAGGGTCCCGGTTACCTTTCCAGTAATCTTGAGTATCGATAGGTGTGTGAGCCCTAAAATATTCACAGCAGTCGGTGAAGTGGGCAAGTAAGTGACGAACGCCTGGTCGACCTGCTCCTCTGTTCTGGGGTTGGGAGGCCTGGACTCAGTTGCCCTCACCATTGCAATTAAAGAGCTATTAGCAGGATTTTGTGCTTGATGTTTATTCTCCCTGACCCCACACCCTGGGCCGGCCCCTGGAGGATATGTGAATGGGAGGTGGGAACCCAGGGTCAGAATGGGGAGGCCCTGCACTTTGGACCGGCCAGTGGACAATAGCGGGCCGTGGGCCTTCGCCAGGGTCTGATCAGCTCTATCTCTGGAATCCAGTCAGCCTCCTGAGATTGATTTAAGAAGATTAATCAGCGGGACTGGCTGGTGGAGGGATGCGATCCTCAAGGGAGATTTGCTGGGCGCATCCTTGTCTGGGCAGAGGCCTAGGGGAGGCCTGGGGAACGTTCTAGAATCTGGAAGGGCCTCCACAGCCCCCTGGCTCTCTGAGCCTCCTGGTTCTTTAGCTCTCAGCCTCAGCACTGTCTTCTTTCCTCACTTGTTCATTTACTCAGCAAAGGATTTCCAAGTGCTTCCTGTGTGCCAGGCACTGCTCTGGCCCTGGGAGTCGGCGGCGACCAAACACAGAAAAATCTTTGCTGTCATTGGAGCTCCCATCCTAGTGTGTGGGGGCCAGGCAGTAAACATAAGTCAGCGGAGGAAGTCATTTTAAAGAGAGAGATAGGCTGTGAAGGAAAGAAAATACTGAGGGACTTTTTTGGCCGGAGTGGTGAGGGGCTGTGAGCCCTGAGAATGGCCGGAGCTGGGGGGAGGGGGGAGTGTGGGACCCTGTAAGTCCCTGAAGGCCAGTAATGAGGTCTTGGAATTTCAAACTCTGAGGAATGAGAAGGCAGGGTTTTAAATGGAGGGAGTGACTCAAATTGAGGGACATTTTACAGAACTAGTCTGGACTCTTAAAAAATGTCAGTGGCATGCAAGACGAAGGCTGAGAACTGTTCCTGGTTGAAGGAGATGAAAAAACTGACAGCAGAAAGGCCATATATAGCCCTCGATTGGATCTCGGATCAGGGGAGAAATTGCTCTAAAGAACATCACTGGGGCAATTGACAGAATTGGAATATGGACTGTAGATTCGCCGATAGCATCAAGTGAATATCAGGTTTCACGAAGTTGATCACGGTAATGTGATTATGTAAGAGAACGTCCTTGCTCTTGCGAAGTAAGAACACTGAAACGTTTAGGGGCAGGGGACTTGATGAATGCAGGTACTCTCAGGAATGGCTCAGGAAAAGAAAAAAAACAATATCTAAAATTTTTAGACGTGGGAGACAACGGTAAATCAAATGATTTCCAATAAATCAGCTTCTCACCCTGTCACACGTAGGGTGAGAAAGCAGTTCACAGTTGCCGAACCTGGGGAAGGTCATATGGCAGTTGGACTATTTGCTAGTTGGACTGTTTCAGACTTTGAGTTTGAAATGATTTCCAAATGGGCATTTAACAAAATTAATCTGGATTGCTGGAGATTGGTAGACGGGAGGGAAGAGGGAACTTGTCCGTGGTGAGGAGGTTGTCAGGGGGGTGATAGTGACCAGGGAGGGAGGCTGGAGGTGGCCAGGGTTTCGTGTCTTGCGGAGGTGGGGCTGCTGAGATCGATGTGGAGGGGCAGATGAGGAGGACAGCAAATGGATTTTTGGTCAGTGCTACTTCTGGAGGAATGGGGAGGAACAGGTTTGAGGAGAAGCTGGTGATCGAGCATTCTTGATCTGGATGTGGCCAGGTCGGGGTGATCTTGGCTCCTGGCGCGGACCAGTCTGCAGTCTGATCTCACGTAACTGCCACCTGGTCCCTTAGAGCCCTGTCTTTGGTCACGTGGGGTCCTGTCTTTCACCCAGAATCTACCCCCATCATGAACCTCACCTGTCCTTTACTTCCCAGCCCAGCTTTTGAGGGCCCCTGTGGGAGCTGCTGCTCAGGACAGGTCTTGGGCCTCCCCAGGGGCAGTGGGGACCCC